TGGACATTGACTCACGATTCTTCTGTATCATTCTCAAATGGATGGTTACTCGGTTCCATTGTGCTATCTGCTTTGGCTTTAACTACTTGGACTTCAGTGTGATTTTGCAATCTGGATTTTTGTGCTTCATCCATACTCATGTTCCTTGCATGGTGGTTTAACTACGCTATATTCTTCTCTCAAATCTTTCCTCATCTTTCAAATTCTTTCAATTCACCTTCACTACCTACCTACCACTACTCCTAAGGCTTAGACAGGGGACCCCTGCAAACATAGCTTTGTTATCTTCCTCCAGCCATCAGAGGGGATGCATGTTGGCATGATGTTGCCCCCACCGCAACCATGGTGGTCAAGGATGGTGTGGGGTTAGCATGGCCCCTGCACAAGGATGACACGAATAAATGGTCCAAATTTTTCAGGGCAAAAAAAAAGGAAGTCCGCGCGAGGATTTGTTTGGCCCCTTGGGGATGACGAGGCCCAACGCATTCTCCGGGACAGTGCACGCATTGCTCTGCCACAAACTGCTGCTGCACACGTCAGCGCATTGTCACCCTGTTCCAGCCGCCGGTACTGCCACGAGTAAACGGTGTTTTTGTTCGTTTACTGCCACGTGTATCCGGTGAAACGCAGCCAGGCCCACTGTCACACGGTGTCCCACGATGCCCCACGCTCGCTTTGGCGACATGCCGCACGATGTCCCATGCTCCAATGGCGACATGCCGCATGATGTCCCACGCTCGCTTGCGTGACATGCCGCACTATGTCTCACGCTCTCGCTTTTGCGACATGCCGCAAGCACTACAACTATGGGTCTCGCTTCACTACTCACCAAATGTGCAAAATGAGCATGAACCTTCCGCTTGAACATGCGAAGGTACAGAGCCATATTTTTTGTCTTTTGTGCTTGTCTTGAGCAGTGGAGCGAGGTACTATGGGCCTAGTTGTTGTACCTCGCCCATCCGGCAACATTTTGAATGAATCTGAGCACAAGAAGGTGGAGGAGTGGACCCGGCCATCAACCCGGAGGGATTACAATGGATAACAGGTCAACCTTCAGATAAAATAAAAATAAAAAATAAAAACAATGTGAATGTAGTTGGCATGCCTTGGGGCCTAGTTGCAGTACTCGCCATCCGCCAATATTTTGACTGCGTGGACACCATGTTGTCCAGATGCGTTCAAAATCTTGGCGGATAGCGAATGCTGCAACTAGTCCATGAAGGAGTGTTGCGGGCATGCATCGTTTTCCGCGCGCCAAATGCGAGAAAAAAATGGAGCACGCACAGCACAGCGGAGGTTTCGTCGGTGGGGACACAGTACACTATTGCAGTCCAACGAGCACTGAGTATGGGCACAATTTCTGCCATCCAGTTGCACAGTATATGAATTATTTGCCCGCTGCTCCCGGGGTCCCTGCTATGCCCGTGCTTTTCACTGCGTGTCTCTCCAGACGTTTTTGGACATTTGTCTGTGCGATCGCCGATCCGCCACCGTCCTGGCTACGCCCCCACCCCACGCGTGGTACCAGTGAGATTATGACAAAAACGAATGTGGACAGCACTCCAGGCTTGGTGCACTCACAGAAGCCAGTTTGGGCCTGCACAGCCAAAGACAGCATGAAGAGTCTCTGTCAGAGCGTCCTCCCACGGCTGCCAGAGTGTCCTCCCACGAGGAGATAATGATGGCACAAGCACCGTCGAGTGGGGTACATAGCTCAACGGAAGATGGGCAGGACAGGGTAGGGGGCGTTGTATTCGGGTGGAGGGACTTTTCAGCACCTTTCTTGAATGGGTAGGGGGTGTTGTATTCGGGTGGAGGGATTTTTCAGCACCTTTCTTGAAACAGAAAAAAAAAGTCTTCTCATTTCTGTTCCCTAAAAACAACCCCTAGATGCGCACAGCTCCAGATGCATCTCCAACGTCGCGCGGGGTCACACGCGTTGAACTACCGTCTCCACACGAAAACAACGCCCGGGCGTTATATTGAACTTACCCTAACAAGATAAGATTTTCGTGTTTACTCTCTTTTTCTCAAATAGAACGCCCCTTCGAATATAACCCCCGGGCTTGTTCCATGCGCAGAGTGCCTTGCAGAGGTAGTATACATGGATTTGAAAGGTTGGGGAGGGGGTTAGACATGGGTTTTAAACAGGGTTGAAAGGGGCTTTGACTTCCAAGGGGCATATTTCGGTTTTATGTTTTGCTTTTATTTTTTATTTCCGAGTATATACGGAATTCTGTAGTGACCCTCAACCAAAAGATGGTCGCTGAGGGTCACTACAGAATTCCATCTTTTGGCTGAGGGTCACTACAGAAAAAAGATGGAATTCTGTAGTGACCCTCAGCGACCATCTTTTGGCTGAGGGTCACTATCAGCCAAAAGATGGTCGCATCCAGCGGCCTAGCTCAGTTGGTAAGGCACGCAAGTGGCATTCCGGAGGTCTTGGGTTCAATCCCCATTGGCCTCATGCACCTTCCTGGGCAACCTTGGCGCCCGCCACCTAGAGATATGCAGTTGGTCCCCCCGAGTGGCATTGAGCAGAGACTGCTGATGTTCATAGGGGGAGGGGACCGGAGGGAAGGCACAGTGACTGGCCCATCGAAGAAGCTCGGTCCTGATGCAACCCGCTACCCCTGGCCGGTATCGCCCACCTGCTGTAGCAGGTATCGCACCTGCTGGTGGGTGCAGCTCCCACATGTTCCCTCGTTGGAGGCTTGAGCACGGATGTGGCTGCTACGGGGTTCCCCGTAATACTATAATGACAACAAAAAAGGCCTGAAAGGCCTTCCTGTCCAGATTTGACAGGTAATTAAGCCTTAAAAAAAGAAAAAAAAAGAAGGTCGCATTGCAATTCTGGACAACATATTTTTTTAACAGAATTTTTTGGATTGTTTTGTTTTCGGAATTTTGGCCCCCCACCGAAGTTTCCACCAATTTACTGAATATAACGCCCGGGCGTTATAAACGAATATGATGCCCGTCGGGCATTATACTCGTATACAACGCCCGGGCGTTATTTTTCGGGTGAAGACGGTAGTTCAACGGTGTATTGGGACTTCGCCCCTAGGAGGACTTGCTGTGTGTTACATGCCCAGTGGGGCAATGTACATATATAACCAAGGATCCGCAATGTGATGAAAAGGACTGAATGGACAATGCAGTGCTAGTGAAATCTCACAAGCAGTGTACATCCTGATACATACAAAAATGGTGCTCTGTAGCGCAGTGGAAGACTTAGATATAAGTCCTGACCTGACCGGGACTGAACTCTATCACGTAGTGCAAGACAGCGCAGCAGAATGCTAGAATACCAATGACTAGCCCAATCAATGTTGCAACGCAGACCAAACAATACATCATCCTCATCACAAGGTGTGAAGGGGCCTGGCGCTACACACAGGAAGAATGTGCCAGGTCCAGATCATGCACAGACGAAGAGGAGGGAATCAGACGAAGAAGAGGGGAGAGGAGATGGGAATGTCGTCAACACCAAGTCTTCTTTACAAGTCCCAAATAATCCCTCGTCAAAATGTCTGAAGCCCAATGTCGAGTCTGGATCCAAATGTCACCAATCCCGCTCTCTCGTAGTCTGCTGATGCAGTGAAGTCAGGTAGCAAGAGGGTGAGAGGGAGATGGTGGACTGAGAAGAAGAAGAAGAACTCTCTACCTCCCATGTGCCAGGTACTAACCTGTGAAGATGGCGCTGTGCTGTAGGTACCTCGAAGACGAAGTTGGAGCTATGGCGCTGCAGGTAAGTCTCCCTGGCCTCCGCCCAATCTGTCTCTCCCTCCAGTACTACTCCAGCTCCTACTGGCGCCCAGCGCAGAACACTACTGTTAACGCTACTACTCCTGCAGCGCTCCTCCAGAGTGCTGCTGCCGAATCCTAAAGACAACCTCCTGCCTCCTGAACTGCACGTGAAGTGCCTGGGAAGTCCCTATGAACTACCTGCAGCCTGCAGGGCGGGCCAGTCCTATATAGTGCGGGCCTGTCCAGGAGGCTGCTCTTGCCAATGCCGAAACGTGCCAGACCCTGGTGTTGAAGCTCGACCAAGGGTTGTCTTGAAAACAGGCCCAAAATGGTCTGTGCTAAAACCCTGGTCTGGTGCCTGAGTTTCAGGGCAGGTCGATCTCATAAGGGCCTGAAAATAGCCCTCCGTCGCCGACCTCTTGAAAACCGTCCATAGAGGGTGGGTCTTGCGATCGTCGCCTGAGAAAATCGTCATGTTCCGCTGGCGTGTAAAGAGCCAACTTGGAGCAGTGAAAGACCGGGTAGACGGGCAAGTGGGCGGGCACCTGAATGGTGAAGGAAGGTCCTTCGGGTGCATCCCCAGCGGGTGCCACGATCGGCCAGGGCCTCATCCATTTTGGGAGGAGCTTGCGAGAGATATCTTGTTCAAGGCTGAACTCTGCGGCGTAAACCCAAACGAAATCGCCGGCGCGGAATGGGCAAGACGCTGGCGATTGGCCTGTTGGCTCATGCATTGCTGCGTCTTAGCCATCTGGTCACGTGCCTTGACAAGTAGCTCTTGCATCCGACGCAAGGAAGATGGTCGTCGCTCTCCGCCGTTCGCGGAATGATTGTGTCCAACAGAGAAGTGACCAGCGAGCCGTGCTCGAACTCAAAGGGCGACATCCCGATAGCCGAGTGGATGAACGAGCACACGTGGCACTATGGGCCCATATCGTTTGTTTTTCAAAATTTCGATGAATTTCGCACCGAAATTGCAGGCGAAAAACGTCGAATATTTGGCCTCCCGTTAACCATCTCTCGTGCCTTGGCATGATAGCAGCAAGGCAAAAACATGGCGAACTTGGTGAGTCGGTCGACCACCGTGAGAATCCCATCCACACCGGTCTTGTGCTTGGGGAACAGCCCGGTAATGTCCATGACAATCGCTTCCCTTCGCCGCAAGGGGACCGGTAATGGTCGCGATTCGCTGTATGGACAATGGTTGCGGGATTTACAGGGTCGGCAAACCTCGCACGACTCGCAATAGTGTGTGACGTCGCCGAGAAGGTCGGGCCACCAAAATCGCTCGCGAAGTCGGCCAATCGTGCGATTGACTCCAAAGTGTTTGGTGGCGGGAGCATCGTGGAACTCACCAAGAAGCCGTGTACGCAAGTGAGAGTCACTCGGTACACAAAGAAGGTCTTTCCCTCGCGTGTGGACAAGCAAGGACCCCTCTTGGATCCAGTAGTGAGAAGGCGCCGGATTAGGAGAGGAGCAATTCGCGTACTTGTCGCGAAACTCGGGGTCGGCTTGGTAGCCGCGGATGAAGCTGTCCCGCAGGTCGTCGTCGATCTTGAAGGTCGAATAGACTGTGGTACAATTATCCGGACGCCGTGAAAGAGCATCCGCAAAACGGTTAGACTTTCCTAAAACGTGATCAGGGAAGAAGTCGAATTGGTCGATGAAAGTCATCCAACGGGCGATGGTGTTATTCACGGTGTCTTGGGTCTTGTAGAAGACCAACGGATTGTTGTCTGTTACCCATCGGAATTGACTTCGACCAAGGAGGAAGTGCTGCCACCGCTTCAGCGCGTGGACGAAGGCTAGGAGCTCCTTCTTGCGTGCATCATCAATAGAGTGCACGACGGGCACTTTCTTGCTGAAGTACTCGACCGGGTGTCAGTCCACACCATCGTGTTGTTCGAGGACAGCACCAATGCCATAGCCGGACGCATCCGTAGTGACGCTCGTTGGCAATAGCGGGTCGTATATGCGCAAGACCTCCGCAGATAATAGCGTGGCTTTGAGATCCAAAAATGATTCCCGCGCATCCTCTCCGAAGTCAAACGGCCAATCCTCGCATTGCAGCTTGGTCAAGTGGGTCGCGATCTTCGAGTATCCCTTAATAAAACATTGGTAGTAGCCGGCAAGGCCAAGGAACGAACCGACATCCATGACGTTCCGCAGCTCCGGCCACTCTTGGATGGCTTGAATCTTGTCCAACAACGGACTGATGCCCTCCGGTGTGACAAAATGGCCCAAGTATTCCAACTCTTGTCGGACCAATTCGCACTTGTCGCAGTTGGCTTTGTACTTGGCGCGGCGGAGCATCGCCAACACTCGTCGAAGGTGCTCAAGATGATCCTCCAATATCCGGCTATAGACGAGAATGTCGTATAAGTAGACCAGCACGAACCGATCCAACATTGTACGAAACTCGTTGGTCATTGTCGCTTGAAAGGTCGTTGGGGCGTTGGTGAGGCCAAAAGGTATGACCACCCACTCAAAATGCCCATACCGCGTTTTGAACGCGGATTTGTAGCGATCGTTCGGCCGGATCGAAATCTGGTGATATCTCGACTTCAAATCCAACTTAGAAAAATACTTCACGCCACCCAATCACTCAAGAAGATCGTCGATACGAGGAAGAGGCCCCGCATTCTTGATGGTTTGCCCGTTGAGCTTGCAATAGTCGATGCACAATCGTAGATCCTTATTCGTCTTCCGTACGAAGAGAATTGGTGCTCCATATGGGGAGCTACTAGGGCGGATCCAGCCCTTGTCCAACAAGTCATCGAGTTGCGCGCGGAGGACCGCTCATGCGATAAATGCAACCTTTCGATGGCACGACACCGGCCTTAAGAATGATCTCGTGAGAGATCAGCCGATTCGACACCACACCGGTAAGTGAGTCGAAGATGTCGGCGAACTCGTCCAGCAACCGCACCACACGGGGGTTCGAAGACAAGTTTGTGGGTGAAGAGTAGGCTACCGCGACGGTCCTTAGGAAACATAGGCCTATCTCGTCGGGTTGCTCGTAAGAGCAAGTAGCCCGAAACGACTTGGTCGTCACCACTTGGCACCGGATCGAAGGGTGCAGAAGAGGAATAGTACACGACACTTCAGCGTCGAAGGCGTCCCGAACGGTAAGAGTCCGCCGGTGGAAGTTGACGGTGTGATCGGCACTTGCAAACCAAGGCATTCCCAAAATAATGCCGAAGTCCGTGTCCAAAATGTTGAACGTCACCGGTTCGCATGCATGAGGTGCGAAATACACCGGTACGGCCTCGATGTGGCGGTCGATAAGTTGTTGCGTCCTTCTGTCCGCCAACTTGATCGCCGTCGGGTTTGCCTTCCTCCGAACTTGTGTGCCAAGGCCAACCATTTGCATAAAGGCTTGGCTCGTGAAATTACAAGACGCGTCGCTATCCAGCAAAGCGTTGCGTAGAGGAGCGGTGCATTGTTGTCATCGTACCACTGCTTGCGAAACTCGCGGGCCACCTTAGTAACATACGCAAGGATGTCCCCCACCGCAACTTCGTCCTCCGTCGGCGAAGTTGGTGGTGCATAGAAGGATAGATACGTGTGAAGATGAGCGCATAATGTTGCGCATTGCGGTCCCGACAAAGGGCCTGTGGTCGGGAGAGGAAGCCATGCAAAATCCTCGGACGTGAGCATGTCCAATACCTCTATGTTGAACTCGCGCGCCGAATCCCGTGAAGAACCACTTGAAGACGATAAGTTGCCGCTACCGAACGGGGACGATGCCGCACACACATCTTGTCCTTGAGCATGAGTACCCAGCGTAGGAACGAGCTGGGCAGCATAGTCCTCATAAGAGTATAGAAGAGGACTATCGGCTTCCGCATGTGCCTCGGAACGAAGGGCGGTCACCCGCGAAGCAACCGGTTCCGAAGGCGTCGAGAGTGTCGTCGACTTACTCCCGGCGGTGCTCAGTTTCCCGATTTGCCTTTGCCTTTCGACGTGCAGCCCACTGTCTCGTGGAGATCTCTGTTACACCACCTACAATAGAGGAATCTCGTGCGTGCCTCGTACACCTGTTCGGAAAGACCGTAGTGGGACCATGGGGTTGGAGCTGCTGCGCTGGGCCCGGGGATAGATGCGATGTTTGTTTTCGTCTTGCCGTGTTCTCGGCCTTTGTCGGGGCGGCCACCATCCCAAGCGGCTGCGAGTCTGTCCCCTTCATTGGCAGACACGGCCTCGCTAGATTGGTTGGTTGGCGTTGCCGCCGCGACCTCGGCCACTTACGGCCGATGCTGATCTCTGCTCGGGCCTGTCGCAGACGAACGGTGGAGGTTTTTAGCCTCCTTGTTCGTGACAATAATCTGCGCGGCCTTGTCGAAGAGATCTGCCGTTGTCGTCAGGGTGTCCTCAACGTGAGTCAAGGCGTTGCCCAACGCCGGACACAACCTCGAGATGAAGTAGTGTTTGACGACCTTGAAGCCCATTTGAATGTCTGGGACGGATGTCAAGCGTTGGTACTCGGCACTCCGGTCAACACTCGGCAGTGTGCCTTTTTCGAAGATCATCAACTTGTCCATTGCCTTGATCTCCGGCGGCTCTACTTGGAACCGCTTATGCCACGCCGCCTTTAGATCATCCCAACTGATCTTGGTGTACAAGTCGGCAGCTACCACCCCATACTTGGATAAGCGATTGTCCAACCATGCTTGGCACCCGCCCCCCGACCGGGACCGAACGCGTGATGTTGTGTAGCATCGTGTTCGGGTTCCGTGACTGAACCCGGACGTTCGGGACCGAACGCGAACGAGGGTCGAAACTCTCCGAACGCGAACATAAAAAATATTAACAAAAAAAAAAAAGTTATCCAAAAACTTTGAAAAAAAATATATGTTATGTAAAATAATAATACAAACAACTTTTGCCTTGGAGATATGCTCAAATTCATAACCACACTCGAGTTAAAAATCAAAAACCAAAAAACAAAGTTTTTTTTTTTTTTTTCCTTTTTGAATATGTTCGGCCGAACACGTTCGGGTGGCGTTCGGCTGAACACCCGAACATGTTCGGACGCTCGGAAAAGCTCCGAACATGTTCGGTGTGCTACACAGGCGTGATGCTTGTCCTCGCTGACGTGGTGTAGTTGCAACTTGAGCTCGAACTTGCGGAACCACGGAATCGGGTCCGTCTTCGTCGAATCGCAAAAGATCTCTTGATCATCGAACCTTGGAGTCGTCTCACGCGGTGCCAAACTCGGGTTGGCGGCGACAGCACAGATCCGCTGCTCCAGTTGTTGCGTGGCGGTTTGTTGTAGCTGCGTGTCGTTCTTGAGGGCGCCGACATCGATCTCCAATGCATTGAGGCGACCGGAGGTGTTGGAGGAGCTGGCGTCAGGAGCGGCGACGGGTCGTTGCTCCAGCTGCTGGAGGCGGCTGTTGAGTTGAGCCAACGCATCGTCGAGGCTGTAGATGTCCTCCTGCTGTGCAATGCACGTTGCCAGGATATCCGTGAAATGGGAGAGGAGTAGAGCGATCTTGCTTTCACTCTCTTCCATCTTACCATTCTCGGCCTCCGCCCGCCAGTCCGTTGCCATTGTGAGCAAAAATCGCTCTCCGCTGAATATCTCCTCGCGTCGTTGAATTCGTTCTTCATCGGCAGCCATTGTTGTTGCCTCGTCTTGCTGGCGCTGCTGTTCGATTGCCAACAACCGTGCCTCCTCGGCGTCCTCTGCCTTCTTCTTCTCTGCGGCTGCTACCTCATCCGCCCGTTTCTTAGCTTCGGTAAACAAGGCCGTCATCCGGGCCTGATAGGCCTCGGCCGTTTCCCCGGGCTTTTGATCCATGCCGGCTGTTTGTAACCGCGTCAGCATAGATCAGGCCGGAGGACTGCTGACGTGGCACTCCCTGCTGCTGTAGTGGTACTGCTGTCGGCTGACATGGCCTGCTGACGTGGCCTGCTGACGTGGCCTGCTGACGTGGCCTGTTGACGTGGTCTGCTGATGTGGTCTGCTGAGATGTTCTGCTGATATAGCAACTTACCAATGCCGCTGCAGGGGGTACCCAGAGACAAATAGAGAAGATAAGACCAGAGGGGGCAACAACATAGGTGGGGAGGGGTGGGTGGGATACATCGCCTAGGTAAGGAGCCACTAATCAAAAAAAGAAAGAAAGAAAGAAAAAAAAAAATTGAGCTTTGCAAAAAAAATCGAGAAAATAAGAATCCCGAGTTTTGCAAGTTCAGTAGGTCTCCCAATCTCCCTCAAAGTGCAAAATTGTCAATGAGAAAAATTTTCGAACTTTCAGACTGCCAATGATTATCACATAGTGAAAATCATAGAACTGCGAATAAAAAGAATTCCAAAAAGAAAATAAAAAAATACTCGAAATTACTTAGATGAGAGTACGCGCCGTTTGGAAAATGGTGACCTCAAGAGGATTTCCCGTACCGTTTTCAAAAAAATGAATTTCGGAAAAAAAATATTCCGGATTTCCGAATAACGAGAAATTGCAAAGGGAAATCGAAATTTTCGAAAAAAGATATTCCGGATTTCCAACGACGAAGTTTCGAATTTTCAGAAGAAAAACGAAAACGGAAATTTCAGGTGTTGCGCTATTGCGATTTTCCACAACAGAAATAGCGGGAAAACAAAATCCAAGAAAAAAAAAAAAAATCGATTTTCGGCAGTGAGGTCAAAATCGTGATTTGGGGGGCTAACTAGTGTGCTCTAATCAATCAATCAAGACTAATCAGCTACTTAGTCCCCGCGCACGTGTCAGATCAGGTTGTCCTGATTCACGTGCAGTGCTCTGATACCAGCTGTTACATGCCCAGTTGGGCAACGTACATATATAACCGAGGATCCGCAATGTGATGGAAAGAACTGAATGGACAATGAGGTGCTAGTGGAATCTCAACAAGCAGTGTACATCCTGATACATACAAAAATGGTGCTTTGTAGCGCAGTGGAAGACTTAGATACAAGTCCTGGCCTGACCGGGACTGACCTCTATCACGTAGTGCAAGACAGCGCAGCAGAATGCTAGAATACCAATGACTAGCCCAATCAATGTCACAACGCAGACCAAACATACATCATCCTCATCACAAGGTGTGAAGGGGCCTGGCGCTACACACAGGAAGAATGCGCCAGGTCCAGATCATGCACAGAAGAAGAGGAGGGAATCAAACGAAGAAGAGGGGGAGGGAGATGGGAATGTCATCAACACCAAGTCTTCGTTACAAGTCCCAAATAAACCCTCGTCAAAATGTCTGAAGCCCAATGTCGAGTCTGGATCCAAATGTCACCAATCCCGCTCTCTCGTAGTCTGCTGATGCAGTGAAGTCCGGTAGCAAGAGGGTGAGTGGGAGATGGTGGACTGAGAAGAGGAAGAAGAAGAACTCTCTCTCTCTCTCTCTCTCTCTCTCTCTCTCTCTCT